TGGTGGGGGGGGGGGGGGGCGAAATGTTATACATTCCTGCTGGACCACTTTGTCTCTAAACCAGATGAATAAAACATTTCACGAGTAACCTTTTACCTGTTCAAAGCATTGGCCTTTTCATTCCCAACCGTAATCCTTCTAAAAGTTCGACAAGAAAAAATACGAAAAAACTATTTCTCAAACATTGAAGCTTAACAATTCTTTTTTCGACCATTGTAAAATTGTGTAGAAAACCTAACCAAATCAATGACCATTAATCTTAACTTGTCTTCTTTCCCCCAAGTTCGACAATCGCCCAGACTATGAGCCAGTGGCGTCACTAGGTCATGTGTCACCCGGTGCGCGTATTGAGAGCATCAACCCCCGCCCCCCCCCCCCCCCCCCCCCCCCCACCTCCTTCCTCCCCCTCCAACAATTTGCATTCTTTGGTTTGATGTCATCCGTTCTCCCCATACTATTTTAATTTTTCAACTTGACTCCACCCTCTAAATATTTTTTACGGGGGTGTGGACCGCCAACGCATACAACGTCCACCTGTCCCCACCTTCCTCCACCCACCTCCCCCACACACACACACCCTCATGACGCTACTCGCCCGAGCCTAATACGTTTCCGCATAGAACCCTCACAGCGATCTTATAAGAAAGAAAAAAAAAATCGATAATTACTTCTTATAACGCTGAAGAAAATTAGTCTAAAGTTTTCTGTAAGATTAGTTAATACGGTTTTTGAAAACAATAACCGACGTTAGGGTTAAAGTCAGAAATATTATCTTTGATTAGATACCTAGATACCATATGACAGCTTGACTGAGCGCAGGTAGGTAACGCAATGGCTTATGTAAACATATACATCATTCACTTATTTTATAACTCCACACTTAATACCATCAGATATATATATGTATATATATATATATATATATATATATATATATATAAAACTTAATACCATATATATATACACATATATACCACAAATATACACATATATAGACATATTCATAGGTATATATTATATAAATATTTAGGCATATATACAGAGGCATAAATATATATATATATATATATATATATATATATATATATATATATATATATATATATATATATATATATATATATATATATTTCAGGTTTAATGTAAGAGTTGAATGCCATATCGAATCTACCACTACTATAAGTCTATTGCTATGGTCGAGGAATCATTCTATAGCTGAGTGACATTGTCTTTAGATTTTAAGTCCGTCATGGCGATTGTTGCCGTGTAGTCTCGGTCCCCCATGGTGATGACGGTCTCCGTGGCCGGACGGTCCTTCCGGGAGCATCGTCTCATGCACAGGCAGCACAACCCGTGGTGCACGAAAGATCGGTATTTGGAATCCAGGACGTAGAATACGACAGGGGTGACGGCGGAGTTTGAGAATGACAGGCAGAAGCCGACGATTTTGAAGATGTGCCAGAAGTGGTTGTAGTTGCCGCCGGGGATGACGTGGAACCAGAGGAAGAAGATGTGCCTTGGAGTCCAGCAAACGGCGAAGGCGAGGATGAGCATGAGGACTGTGAGCGCGAGCCGGCGTCGTTTCATCAGCATGGTGGTTTGCCGCGAAGCCGGGGGAGCAGGCTTCGCGGAGAGGTCTTGCGTGGTCGGGTTTAACGGGGTGGTTTCTTTCGCGATTTGAACCGAGGTTGATTCCGTTGGCGGTTTTTTTATCGTTTCCGTTTTGGATTCCGGGGGGTGGGCGTTGTCTTTTTTCTGGTAGGGCGTGTCGTTTTCCGGGATGGGGCCAGTGTAGACGAAACTATTGGGATGTGAAGTCGTCTGCTTATTCTCGGAAATTTCAGTTCCGGTTCCGGAATTTCCAGATTTTTCGTCGTGACTTTGTGACGCTGGTTTTGAAGACGCGGCGTGTTTAGAGTTCCCGGCGTCGTTGGAGTCTTTACCTTGTTTTTTACTCGAGTTAGCGTCAGCCGCGTCGACGGCGTCCGTGTTTTTCGACACGAGTTGTTTCAACTCAGACGAGTTTTTAGGCTTGCTAGCTGTGGCGGTCCGCTTCGACAAAGGGAAAGCACTCAAAAGTAAATGCGCGGCTATGATAGTGTAAGCCACGGCGATGACTAGCAAAGGGAGACAAAACAGCAAGACGAATCTAAAAATAACGTGCAGTTTTTTGTAAAGTTCGCCCCAGTTCGCGTCGTAGAGATCACAAATTGGGTTTTGTTTATTGATCGAATGGTACACAATGTTCGAAGAGAGCAGGTTCGGTAACGCTATCACGGCGGAGACAACCCAAAGACTTATCGTCATCAGGATTGGTACCTTCTTCTTCTGGCGCCAAAGTTTCTTCCCGGTAACGATCAGGCACCGTTCAATACTCAACACGGACAAGGTCGTGATGACCACGCCGGTAGCCAGGTTTTCAGCGAAGTGGCTGACTTTACACAACGTCAAGCCAAACGGCCAGTACGGGAGCGTGTACCACATCGAGTTAAACGGAAGTGACACGATTAAGAAAATGAAATCACCGGAAGCCAGGTTGACGACTAGTGCATTGTGGGGCGTCGAGAGGGTTTTGTGACGCGCGAAGGAGAGGATGAGGAGAAGGTTCCCCGTGACGCCGACGATGAGGATGACGGCGAAGACGAAAGGTACGATAATGGCTTCCGGCTTGGAGTCGTAGAGGTCTGTGAAGTTCATCCCCCTGTCGCTGCTGTTGGTGAGTGCGGCGCCGGTGATGTTGTAAGTGGTCATCTTCTCGGAACCATCGCCTGCCGTGAAGACGTTGTCCATCTCGCCCGAATCCATTCCGTTTCTGAAAATAAATTTTCATTAAAATGAATACTTATGAAATGTATATATATATATATATATATATATATATATATATATATATATATATATATATATATATATATATATCAATTAATAATAACACCGTTACCCTTTCGAATAGGGTGGTTTATATGGCAGACGAAGTAGGGTTCCTCTGTTTCAGAGTTTCTTCCAGGCATATCTCTACCGCCCCCCTTTACCCCACACCACCCCCCCCCCCTTACCCCCCCCCCCCCCCATTGAACTATATGGAATTTATAAGGAAAACATATACTTTTACTACTGTCCGTCCCCCCCCCCCCCCCGGAAAATGTAGTACGCCCCCCGAAAATATCAAGTGCCCTCCTTTTTTTTCAGGCATATCTTCTACCGCCCCCCTACCCCCCCCCCCCCTTTCTCCCCCCCCCCCCCCCCTTGAATGATATGGAATTCATAAGGAAAACATATACTTTTACTAGTGTCCGCCACCCCCCCCCGGAAAATGTAGCCCGCCCCCCGAAAATATCAAGTGCCCTCCTTCTCCCCCCCCCCCCCCTCCCCGGGACAAAAAAAATTTGGAAGAAACACTGCTCTGTTTCTGTGACCATATAAATGGATAGTGTTGACAGCATTATTCCCAGCCGCCGTTGCTTTCTCTAACAGTGGACTTTCTACCAACAAAACGGGATCCAACTCAGGGCCTTCAACTCAGCAGTTGTATTATACAAAAGTCCCATTCTAACGTTCTTACATACGCTTAGTATATGCTAGTATGTGATATCCCATGAATGGCGCTAAACTGGACGCCTCAAGGAAAAGAAAGCAGGGAAGACCAAGAGAGACGTTGAGGCGCACAGCAGGGAAGCAGCTGGCAGAGAAAGGACTGTCATGGGGGACTGCTAGTTAGCAGCTGGCAGAGACAGGACTGTCATGGGGGACTGCTAGTTAGCAGCTGGCAGAGACAGGACTGTCATGGGGGACTGCTAGTTAGCAGCTGGCAGAGACAGGACTGTCATGGGGGACTGCTAGTTAGCAGCTGGCAGAGACAGGACTGTCATGGGGGACTGCTAGTTAGCAGCTGGCAGAGGCAGGACTGTCATGGGGGACTGCTAGTTAGCAGCTGGCAGAGACAGGACTGTCATGGGGGACTGCTAGTTAGCAGCTGGCAGAGGCAGGACTGTCATGGGGGACTGCCAGGAAGCAGCTGGCAGAGGCAGGACTGTCATGGGGGACTGCTAGTTAGCAGCTGGCAGAGGCAGGACTGTCATGGGGGACTGCTAGTTAGCAGCTGGCAGAGGCAGGACTGTCATGGGGGACTGCCAGGAAGCAGCTGTCAGAGGCAGGACTGTCATTGGGGACTGCCATGAAAATTGCAGGAGACCTACAAAAGTGGAGTGAGCTTTCTGTGGTGGCCCCATGTGTCTTGAGATGATGATATACTAATATCGATTAATAAGTAAAAAGATGTTTTAAAACCTCTTGACACGAATATCTTTGCTGGATAGTAGAAGAATATTTGTTGCATGTGGGTTTTATATTGTTAAATCTCAGACAATACTTTGACGTTGTGATAAAAATGTGTAAACTTACTGTAAACGGTTTAAGTACTGATATTGCATTTTTCCCCTCCATTAAAAAATCAAACTAAGCTAAATTTCCGTTTATATGTATCGATTTCTATGATTATTATTTTGTACAAATGTATTTGACAACAAAATTACTCAGCAATACATTTACCTACATTTTTTTCATACAATATAATCGGATCACCATTCTGTAGTTGTAATGAAATTCGTCTTACGCCGTCAAAAAATACATTCCTGACTTAATTACTTTTAATTATACTTATATGAAAATTGCGGTTTTTGCCAACCAATTACCTCTCCCCACTATTTCTCGACCACACCCCTACCCCACCCCGCCCCCACCCATCTCAACCTTCAACTTTTTACACTCGTGACGTAGGCCTATACGTTAAAGCAACTCAGTATTGATCTCAAAGCTAAGTAGTTTATGTGAGCGATAACAAGTAATGTTCCCTGACAATGCGACAATTAGATTGTGGCTTGTATAAAGTGGACAATTATACATTAAACTAAACAAAATGTTAATGGTGAGGGGGGGAGTAAAAGAACACAACTAAATTGCAGCACCGTTAAATTGCAAAATAAAAATATGGATAACAGGAATTGATATTGCACTTGAATATTTGTTTGCGAAGTTTGTTTTCAACTTGTGCGACCGCATAGTTGGGTGGTAGAGCGCCTGAGTGCTAAACAAGCTGTCTCGAGTTCAAACCCCGAGCAGCTTAAGTCTGTAGAACGTCCATTAGGCCACCCAATTCTGATAAGTGCTTGACTGAAGTTAGGTAAACTAAGTCAGCAGGGTTTGTACTGAATCACTACCCACCTCTATGCCGAGATCAATGAAACAGATAAACTCTACTTCATCTGCTCAATGTGTCTTGGGCACGAACTTGAAAAGAGGATGTAACTAGCCAACACCCAATGTGTCCTTAAAAACGATTCTATTTAGCTCCAAGTAAAACTTTAAACTCTAAGCTTAGGGGCGGGGGGTGGGGCTGTAAATACTGATCGTCGTGGGGATAAAATCATGCAAATATACTAGAACACTCGCCCCCCGGGGAGGGGGGGGGGGGATGTGGGTTAAATTTACAATTAATCCCTGGTCGTTGGGTTAAAACCTCATTACGCCACGTGACCCCGGCTTTGACCTTTCTACACTTAATTGTATGGCCATTGTTGTTTAATTGCCTTTATGGCCATGAATGTGTTTTTATGTGCTCATGACATCAACATTGTATTTCCGTGATATGGGTTTGGGTGCATATGGGTTTAAATATGTACATACATTTTAGAATTTTATTTCCACTTTTTCTGATTATCAATATTTAATTATTTGGCCGACATATTTTACTTGTTTTCTGGCAATAAATAATTTAATTTATTTTGATAGCCCTTATTATTTTTGTCCATGCATATTTCTTTGCGTTTTGGTCATCAATATTTACTTATTTGCTAGTTTAGGCCAACTATATTTAATTACTCTGGCCATCGGTATTAAATTGTTAAGGGACATAATCAACACTATAAGGGACCAACATTATTTAATTAAAAGCGATCATCTATTTTTAATTGCTAAAACCCATCAATATTTAATTGTAAGTGCAATCAATTTTTAATCACAAGGGGTTCGTCATTATTTCATTGTTAGGTGCTATCGATTTTGAATCGTTAGAAGCCATGAATAATCTAGATTTGCAGGGATAGGCAAATGTTAAATTCCACTTTTCAAACTCCCCTGCGATCTAGATCCAAGTACATTTAACAATCCATAATTCCATTTGTTTATAATTTTATCGATCGAATTCGTGCGGTTTTACTAAAAAAAATATTAAAATTTACAGTTGAAAATAGAAGGAATTTTTTTTTTGTTCCGGAAGGTAAAGCCGAATGTCCAAGAAAAAAAATTCGAGTTTTAAAATTACCCATTACATTAGTAAAGCTTTAAAAAAATATTATGTTGAAAGCTTTTGGATAAAAGATTCATTATTTTAAAACATCGCTACAATAATTGTTAGGTGCTATCGATTTTGAATCGTTAGAAGCCATGAATAATCTAGATTTGCAGGGATAGGCAAATGTTAAATTCCACTTTTCAAACTCCCCTGCGATCTAGATCCAAGTACATTTAACGATCCATAATTCCATTTGTTTATAATTTTATCGATCGAATTCGTGCGGTTTTACTAAAAAAAATATTAAAATTTACAGTTGAAAATAGAAGGAATTTTTTTTTTTGTTCCGGAAGGTAAAGCCGAATGTCCAAGAAAAAAAATTCGAGTTTTAAAATTACCCATTACATTAGTAAAGCTTTAAAAAAATATTATGTTGAAAGCTTTTGGATAAAAGATTCATTATTTTAAAACATCGCTACAATAATTGTTGAGGAAATAGCGCTAAATCTTTCCGAAAAGTTTTAAATACATGAAAGGATGTTTTTGGCTTAGTTTTTTTTTTCTAGCTTTCATTGTTTAAAAATTCCTAGGTTTAATTTATCAATTACATCCTTTATTTGTACACTGTGATCTATAAGTTAAGACTGATTAGGATTAATGGTAAGGACAGTAAGGTTTTTATTAAATCATTTATGTGTACACTATCGTCAATAAGTAAAGACTGATTCGGATTAATGTAAGGACAGTAAGGTTTTTGTTACTGTTAAGGACATTGTGGGAGTATTAGTAAGGGTCAGTGTTTTTTCCATACTTTTTTCTCCGAGGGGGGAGGCACTCGATATTTTTATATTTGGGGGGGGGGGGGGCGGACTAAATTTTCCGGGGGGGGGGGGTGCGACGACGACACTGGTAAACATATATATTTTCTATATAAATTTCCATTTCGTTCGGGGAAGGGGGCAGTTGACTTTCTTTGGGGGGGGGGGGGGGGCTCTGGTTCAAACCTTCCCCCCACCATACAGTAGAGATGCCTGGAAGAAGACACAGTGGTAAGGGTAGGTCTAGAAAACGTCTACGTTTCATGATAGTTAAGATTTGTAATGAATAGTTATGTTTAGACTCAGTGTTCTTAGGGTAAAGAAATTGCCTAGGATAAAATATAAATGGACATTTTTCACCGGTGACGTCATATGACTACAGAGATCAAAGTAAAACAACCACTTTTCCTAACATCATATAAAGCAGATGAGATAGATTTCACGTGTTTATTTGGCATCGGCATATGAAAGAATACTGTGGCCAGCATTATGCCCTGATGCCTTTACTTTCCCTAACCTAAGTCAGGTACCCATTAGCGCTCAGTAGACTCAGCGACTTCCCGACTAAGATTGAAACTCGAGACTTTTGTGTTAGTAGTCGTGCGGTTAACCACTTGACCACGCCGTCCCTGTATGTAGATGATTAGGGGAAATACAGAGGCGTAGCGAGAGGGCGGAGGGGGCGGACCGCAT